TCAATGGGGAACTCTCTACACCTAGAATGTTAGGCATAGGGATCCATAGGTCATGAGAACTGGCTTAGAAGCCATGCGGGGGACTTGCTCTGCACGTCTTGTTGCTAACCCACGCCTCATCGAATGTGGGTGTTAGGTTTTGAGTAGGAGCTTCATTCAATACAGTTGAAAATCTTGTTGTTTGAATGATGTCCCACAGATGGCGCCAATAATAGTGAAATAGACTTCGTTCGATCTTCACTCAAGCTGATGGATTTGGGTGGGCTTCCTTCTACCTTAGGCAGCCTCCAAACCTGTAATAACTCAACACCAAAAGGGGGTTTTTCTGGAGAAGATCCTCTGATGCCTAAGTCAGCATAAGATTCGAGAAGATGAATAGTACCTAAGTATATAAGAGTATATGGAGAGAATGTAAACTGAAAAATAATCTACCACACCCCTTTATATCGGGGTGTTCTGTCTTCCTCTCCAAGTCTGCCCGGACAGTTGACCCTACTGCCCAAGCTGCCAGTCTGTACGACATGCAGCGTCTCAGACTGTCTAGTTTGTTAGGTGTGCAGAAATCTCGTCGTGACATGTGGTCCAATCCTCAACATTGTTCCCGAGTTAGGTGCCTTCTTGTCTTGAAGTGAGACCAAGTCTATGTCATCAGGTAGAACACTTATTAGGTAGAACATCTTCTTCCCCAGCCCTTCTATTGTTCATAAGATCGAATCGACCTCATTCTCTTCAGGTTGAATCTGACTACAGCTCAATCTGTCCATTAATCCGGGCTAGCTGCCTGGTTTCATTGGTCCAGTTGACCCGGTATAGTATCCTATATCACCTGGTATCATGTTTAAGACAAACATATACCATATTAATAATAATGATTTCTTTAGTCCTTTGTGTCTACTATGTCACAAGGATCATTCTCGCATGAAATGATTGAAGAATAAACCAATGAACAATATATAGGTGGACTTTAGACTAGTCGTGTTTGATCATTGAATGAGATGAAGAGTTTAAGTAATGTTTGTTTATTAGTGTGTTGAGTTCATGACTACTAGTCGGGGATACTTAATTACACACATTCATAAACCCATTAAAACTAAAGTATAAGTGATCTTGAGTAATAAAAACATCATTCAAAATTGGAATATTGTATTTTTTTTTTTGTTCGTTAGAGTTGGTACTGAAGACCCAAACGTAGGTACTAACTTACTACAGAATAAGTACTAGGCTTAATTGAAAATAAAACCATGACCTTTTCGAAATTTGCAATTTAATGCACCACCTTTAAAATTGGCAAATTTATACACCACTTTTATAATTTTTTGCAATTGTATGCATCGGGCCAAAAATCGGGCTTCCCTTGCTGACATGGGCTGGTGACGTGGCGATTTTGCTGACATGTCTGGTGACGTGGCTGACATGTCAATATTTTGCTGACATAGCGGCTGATGAAGCGGCAAAAATTATAAACAAAGGCAAGGTTCGAACCTGTGACCTCTAGGTTACATTGTGGCAATGAAACCATCACAACATTCCAAGTTATGTGTTGGATTCAATAGCAATTAATATATATGGACACTAAGTACTAATAAACACAATTAAAATTTTAAAGATAATGTATCTTATATTAATAAGATATAAACTTATAATAATTTAAATATAATAAAATAAATTATATAATATTAAATGAAAAGTAAATTATAATAAAGTAAGATAGATTATTATAGTACAGTGCATTTAAATTAAATTAAATTAAAATAAATTATTATATTTATTATTTATTAAAATAAAATTAATTATATAAATTTGGAAATAAAAATAATATATTATTTATTATATTATCATATATTTTATTATATAAGATAATATAAGATAATATAATATAATATAATATATTTTTTATAAAATAATATAAAATAAGATAATATATTATTTATTACATTATATTATTTTATAAAAAAATAATAATGATAAAATTAAATTAAAAAATAAAAAAGATTAAAGTACACAAGTTAAAATTAAGTAAAAATAATAAAATATAAGATAATAAATTATAAAACATGGAAAAATAAAATAAATATAAGATAATAAAATATTTATTTTATTATCATTTTATTTAATATAAGATTATAAAATATTTACTTAATTTTATTTTACTATTTTATATTATATTATCTTATAAGATAATAAATATACGATAATGATTATTTATTATACTATAATAATAATATTATAATGTATTATAATATATTATATTATTTTTATAATATAATAAATATAAGATAATATAATGTAATAAATAATATATTATCTTATTTTATATTATTTTATAAAAAATATATTATATTATATTATATTATCTTATATTATCTTATATAATAAAATATATGATAATATAATAAATAATATATTATTTTTATTTCCAAATTTATATAATTAATTTTATTTTAATAAATAATAAATATAATAATTTATTTTAATTTAATTTAATTTAAATGCACTATACTATAATAATCTATCTTACTTTATTATAATTTACTTTTCATTTAATATTATATAATTTATTTTATTATATTTAAATTATTATAAGTTTATATCTTATTAATATAAGATACATTATCTTTAAAATTTTAGTTGTGTTTATTAGTACTTAGTGTCCATATATATTAATTGCTATTGAATCCATCACATAACTTGGAATGGTGTGGTGGTTTCATTGCCACAATGTAACCTAGAGGTCACAGCTTCGAACCTTGCCCTCTGTTTATAATTTTGGCCGCCACATCAGCCGCTATGTCAGCAAAATATTGACATGTCAGCCACGTCACCAGACATGTCAGCAAAATCGCCACGTCACCAGCCCATGTCAGCAAGGGAAGCCCGATTTTTGGCCCGATGCATACAATTGCAAAAAATTGTAAAAGTGGTGTATAAATTTGCCAATTTTAAAGGTGGTGCATTAAATTGCAAATTTCGAAAAGGTCATGGTTTTATTTGCAATTAAGCCTAAGTACTATTATAATATTGAGTTAGTATAGATCTCATAAACGTTGACCAAAATTAAGCAATCCATTTTCTTTGTTAAAATCTGTAAAAATTGATTGGTATCAGGTACTGGCTTCCTATGTACCTGTATCGTGTTTAAGGAAAACACGTTCCATATTATTAATCAATATTTCTTTAGTTCTGTATGTCTACCATGTCACATAGATCACTCCCGCACGAAATGGTTGAAAAATACACAAATGAACAACATATAGGTGGAATTTAGACTAGTCATGTTTGATCATTTAATGAGATGAAGGGTTTGAGTAATGTTTGTTTATTAGTGTGTTGAGTTCATGGCTACTTGTCGGGGAAACTTAATCACACACATTCATAAACTCATTAAAACTAAAGTATGAGTGATCTTGAGTAATAAAAATATCATTTAGGATTGAAATTTTGTACTTTTTAAGTTTGTTAGAGTTGGTGCCGATGACTCAAAATAGGTACTAACTAACTATAGAATGAATACTATTACACTATTGAGTCAGTACAAATCTCATAAACATTGACCAAATTAAAGCAATCCATTTTCTTTGACCAAAGTCGGTACTAATTCATTTGTACAAGGTACTGTCTTCTTATGTGACTAATCATGTTTGATCATTTATTGAGATGAAGAGTGTGAGTAATGTTTGTTCATTAGTTTGTTGAGTTTATGACTACTTGTCGGGGATACTTAATTACACACATTCATAAACTCATTATAACTAAATTATGAGTGATCTTGAGTAATAAAAAAATCATTTAAGACCGGAACTTAGTATTTTGTAAGTTCTTTAGAGTTGGTACTAGAGTCCCAAAAGTAGGTACTAACTTACTATAGGATGAGTATTGTTACACTATTGAGTCGATATAAATCTCATAAATGTTGACCAAAATTAAAGCAATCCATTTTTTTTTACCAAAGTCTGTACTGATTGATTGGTATCAGGTACTTTCTTCTTATATACCTGGTATTATGTTTAAGCCAAACAAGTACCATATCACAAAACATAACTTCCTTAAATCCTTCACATCATATTTTTTTCTTTCAACAAAGTATGTACTGAATACGATAAAACTAGTACTATTAGGACACATGATTGGTAGTGAAGTGAAGAAAAATCGGTATCTGTTTACAAAACATAACTTCCTTAAATCCTTCACACCATTTTGTTTCTTTCAACAAAGTAGGTACTAAATACGATAAAACGAGTACTATTAGGATACAAGGTTGATATTGACACTAGGGAAAATGTGTATTGTTCATAAGATTATTGTCATGGGATCGTCTAGGGTCAGGTACCCCTTGTACCTACTTAACATCAGGTACCTCCCTATTTCACCGTTAGATTGACTAAAAAATAAAAATCAACGATGGATTCAAGGGTACAAGGCAAAAAAGAATTTTGGTAGCCTTGTACTTTGTCTCGTACCCCTCGTACTTGTTAAAAACCTATTATACCCTTCGTACCCATTGTACCTATTTTATTTATTCTCATGCTTCCACATACTTATCTAATTTATATAACAATCCTACAAATTCAAAACAATTCATCACAACCTAAAAATATATTTTATGTATCCAATTCTTCTTCTTCATCTGAAAAAAAAAAAAATCTTCTTCTTCATCTTCTTCCTCATTGTTCTTCTACATAAAAATCCGACCACCTCCTTCATCCTCTCCTCATGATTCAATATCAGAACAATATTTTTAACCCAACATATATTCGAACGATTGACGATTTACCCCAACATGTAGAGATTTCAATCGCACGCACGATTCATTAAGGTACTTTATTTCGAATGTGAAGTATGATTGGAAATTCTTGGCATGCTTCTAATATTTTTGGTGAATTTTGTTATGTAATTCCTCATACAAAACCCTTGCAGTCGTGTTATTAACATAGATTGTTTTGGTGAAGATTTTTGCTTTGGCTGCGCATACGAATAATGATTTGATGTGAGGAGGTGGATATATGCTTGAACCTTTACTTTCAAAATATTTCACACCGAAAAAGCCCGTTCATCTCTCTTTTCTCGAATCCCAAATGGAGGAATTGATAGCCAAACTAACGGATCCCGACATCCAGCCAGAATACTCTCGTCCAGACCTGTCGAATCCGCTGATATGTAAAACCCTACATAATAGAAATTGTTTCGACTCCCGTTAGCGCAACCCAACAAACTTTTTGAAGCGCAGTGTTAACTAGCGATTAATTGTTGATATGTTGGTTTTGTTGTATTCTTAAAAGCACATTACGTGTTTGATGTAATGCCTCACTCGGGATAACAAAAAACAAGAAGCTAGTGAAGAAGCTTGCTAAAAAGTACCATGCTTTCTTAGCCTCTGAAGTTGTTATTAAAAAGATTCCATCTCTTGGGACATGGTCTTAACAATGCTGGCAAGTTCCCCACTCTCGTGACTCACCAGGAATCACTTCGAGTCAAAGGTAAACGAAACAAAGGCCATGGTGATGTTTCAGCTGAAAAAGGTGGTCTGAGTAGAATCAGATCTTCCAAAACATGCAAATGAGTGTCAAATTCCTAGTTTTTGTACTGAAAAAGAATTGGCAGAATGTGAGGTGTTTGCACTTAAAGAGCACAATGGGAAAGCCACAACGTATCTATTATGAGTGTATGAGTGCGTGCACAATTGAACATTTCTCGTGGGGCAAGGGAATATTTTGATTTTCAAATGTTGTGATAGTTTGTTCTCAGGTTGACCAAGTTTACCTAAATTATTTTGCTTATGTTCAGCTGGTTTTCTTTTATAATGTTGTCAGTATTTTTACCGGAGTAGAATCGAAAGATTCGTTCCCCGGGTCGTATCGCAAGGAAGGTTAGCCGGATATTCTTGTGCGTTTATTCAATCATGAAAAAGAGAAGACAAATTCCTAAACACTCTAGTTCAATATTTTTGGGTTTCAATTATCAACTAATGATTTATACTGAATAAAATGAAAGTAAAATGGCAAATAAATTCACTGAATGATTAAAGAGCTAGGGAATCGGGGATAATTGCTTTCGGTTCTATCACAATTACTGGCAATCAATTGCTCGGTTAAAGGACTTGAATCATTTCTCGTTCAGAGGTTCACTCTCAATAACTATTCGTAAAAAGAGGGTGAATGTAAACGATCAACTATCAATTCCAACAACACATAAATTATACGTTTCTGAACAAATTTATTCTAAACGAGCCTAATTCGACCAACGTCTCCCCTCTCGGTTCTACACGTTGATAATCTAGGTTAGAAAGATGATCAATCTACTAACCCTATAATTCACACAACTCGCACAGACATGAACAATCGAAAGCATTCAATCATTATCGAACCTAATCAATAATCCCCTATACCTAACGAATGGATTTAGCTACTCATATGGAATCTAACATCATAATTCATATTAACCCAAGCCATAATCATCAACAAAACAATTGAGAAAAAGAACTTACGGTTAATGATAAGAATTCAATGTCAAATCCAAGTGCATCCAAATCCAAAGCAGAGAAAAGGAGTTTTCAATCTCCAAAACAAATCCAAAGTACAAAGTATGAAAAGGAATGAGTTTCTAGAGAGAAAAAACGTAAAAACAAAGTCTGGAAGTCAAACTCCGAACCCTAGGACCGAAATCTGATGTTAAAATCCCGTCCTCGAAATTCGCGCCGGTAAAGTCGCGAGTCGCGAGATCATCAACTCCTCGGTCGCGAGTCGCGACCTCCTCGCGAATCGCGCGTCGTCATTTTCTTTATATTCTGGGGCTGGTCGCGACCCAAGTCGCGAGTCACGACATAATCTCGCGAGTCGCGACCTCAACTCGCGAGTCGTGACTTCGACACGGAACTGCTCCTTAAGCCTCAGTTTTTTTCGTGGGTCGCGACAGTTTCGTGAGTCGCGACCCATGCCGCGAGTCGCGAGAAATTCTGGGCGCGTTTTCTGTCCGTTTTTCTGTCCTTCCTTTAGTCTTCTAGGCTCGGCAACGGGTATTCTCGATATCACAGTCTCGGCTCAAGCAGTCCTAACCTCGACCGGCACAACCTATCTCCTGAAAACACAAAAAACAAGGAAAAACACGAAGCAAAACACGGCAAAAAGACACACAAAAAGAAACTAATGAGAAAAACACAAAATGAACGAAGTGGACCAAATAAACTACGAAAAACCTACAAATGGGGGAAAAAAAAAGAAAATAAACATGAAATAAAGACATAAAAATGGGACAAACATATAACTTTGGTTATAACTTTGCATTGTTTGGTATTTACTGATACATTTTGTTGAAGAATATCTATGAAGCACTTTGATTTGAAAAAAAAAAACATCTCTTATTTATGTTTCTGGCAATGACATCCTAATTGTTATTTGATCTCGTTACAGGGAATGAATATGCCACCATAGTTGTTTCAAGGATTGGATATGCCATCATTTTTTCGTAAGTGAATCAACAAATGAAGAGAAGAATTACATGGTCCATTATTAAACAGGGTAGATCTCAAGGGTGGGTAGAGGGCTCTTGCAGTAATTAAAGGCATATTAGGAGAATGTGAAAGGTTACATGGGCTCTGCCTATCAAGAGCAAATTAAAAAACTTCATTTGGAGATGTTGGCATGAGTGTGTGGGGACTAGAGTACAACTGAAAAAGAGAAGAATTGAATGTGATTTAGTATGTGAGGTCTGTGGGGAGTGTGAGGAAAATATTGATCATATCTTATTTCAGTGTAGTAGGGTTGTTAAGTGCTGGAAACTGTTAGGTATTTCTTGGGATTGTTTTGATAGGCGGGGGTGTGGGTTTGGGGAGTGGTGGTATGAAATTTGCAATGCTCCTAAATCCAACTTACATGTTGTGGTGGCTATGAAAAACAAGAAATAGTTGGGTTTTTGAGAAGAAATGTGTTGGGGAGGATAAAATAGTCCAAAGGGCTATGGATGAGTGAAATATCTTTACTTCTGTGAGAAATGGTGAGGTACCAGGGCTAGGTGTTAGGTATTTCTCTATCTGTCATTTGCTTCTTGAGCAATGGTAGGTTAGGTTTGAGGGGGGAAGGGGGGGACAACTTTTTGTGAGGAGAGGGACATACAGCTATGGGATGCATCTAGGGACTTCATTGGAAGTTCAGTGGAGGTCTATACTGTGGGTGCTCTTTGGGTACTCAAATATGTAGCCAAGAATAACTGGAAAAATGTGACATGCTATATGGACAACAGAGAAGCTGTCACCTGGTGCTGTGGAAATTTGGAAGCAGGGGATATGAGAGCTGCAGCTGTGGGTGAATTCAAGTCTTTGTGCTCTTCTATTCATTCTTGTAGTTTTATTTTTGATAAGGATATTTGTATAGTTTTTGCTTCTTTAGCCAAGATGGCTATGCAAGGAAATTTGTAAACTTGTTTNGACCCAGACCTATTTAGGTCTCGTTGATGTAAAACAATCTTTGTGAGCTTAATATATTTTCTGGTTTGAATGTGGAAAAAAAATAAAGAATCATCAAATGAAGCAACAAGAACACTACCTTGCTCCTGTTGGATGAAGAAGCAACTCAACTCTTTTGCAATTCATAGGATTCAATATTCATGGTAAGAATCCATATGTGATGAAATACTAACACCTCGCATTATCTCTTAAACTAAACAATGGACATAATTTCTAGATGGGATTGTTATTACAACGTATGAGTAAGAGGTCTGGGAAAGAATATGTGAAGGATGCAGTTGCAAGGTTAAATTTCGAGTTCACAGAAGGAGGGCTTACAAAACATGCAATCAAGAATATCAGCCACGTGAGTAAATATAACATGTTAATCTTATTATATAATATATTCATCTTATTATGTAACATGTTCATCTTCATTTTTAACATGTTCAATGGATTATGCAACATATTTATCTCATAATGCAACATGTTCATCTTATTATGTAACATATTCATCTTATTATATCACATATTCATCTTATTATATAATATATTCATCTTATTATATAACATATTCATCTTATTTTTAACATATTCTTCAACATTATACTTACATTGATCTGTTCTATTTTTTAGCTTATTGTTCTATTATTCTTCAACAAAGCTCTTTTGCAATTCACACGATTCAATATTCATATACATTGCGGACACTGATTTACAAGTTAAACACGCACTATCGAACGTGAGCTAGTTGTGTATTTCAGTACACTGGCAAAATTGTGCACAAATATGTGAACAACTCTAAATTAATATATTGGCATAACTGGATGACACCCAACAAATAACCAAAAGTACCACGAAGGGTTAGATCTAGAGGCGACCCACGAAGAGTTAGATCTAGAGGCGCACCGCCAGTACAAAAGCAAAGATGCAAACCATGCGGGCAAGTACATTATTGAATATGAACTCAAATTTTTTAGTAGCTTAAATTATAAAATGTGTTTTATGTATATTATTGCACACGTACTGAATTTTATGTAATATTTTTACTTGCAGGGACCTCGGGCATAAGTCAACCACCTATCAATTGAAAAAAAAAGAGTAGCCAACCAACACATTCTGATGTTGGAAACGACAGTGACTTCTGCATTCCAAATGGCAGTCAGGACAAGGGCATTGAAGACATAAGTCAGTGTGAATAAAAGAAGAGACCAAATTGTAAGAGTTGTTTTGTCCTATGTAAACCCAAAAAATCATGTTTTGCCACTGTTCTGTAAACTGGTGCAACTGCAACTATGCTCTTGGGTTACTCTTCTTTCAGTTATCAGTTTTTTTTTAGCTCGTCATGACAGATTGACAACAGTATTATGTAGTAACCTATATCAATTCAAATGTTGACTTCTAATTCTGGATAACCTTGCATCAATGCAAACAAAACAACATACAACACCAACACAATAAAATACCCTGTGCAGAAAAGTATACCACAGATTTGTTACCCGATTTTCCCCATGGCATATCAAAAGTTGACAGTTCAAATTCATACAAATATCAAAAGTTGTCATGGCATATAACACACACAGATTCCAACCCAAAACACACCAAATCAAATTGCAGCATAATTCATTAATTTACATAGACAAAAAGATTTTGTACCGGTCACAGCAACTACAAAATAATCCTAAACACCAGATGATCTCCTCCTAGCAAAAAATGAAACTGAACAACCTTCCATAAATCCATTATGTTCGATGAATTGACGAGCATACTCATATTCTATTAACTTTTTACCATTCCTTTCAGTTACATCCAAACAGTAAAAACACTGGTCAGTAAAAAGATACGCTTTCTTTTTAAAACACCTTTGATCTTTAATGTGCATATTCCAGTACGCCATGAGAATGAACTGTAAAAATGCAAGAACATTACTTCTTTTGTTTTTTAAGGACCATTTACCACAACAGTTCCATGATGAAATTAGACAAATTAAAGTATGCAATTACCAGGCGAGCACGTTCAATATGAGTTTTCTTTAGCTGAAGCGTAAACCGATATTGCGGCGGTCTTTCCACACCAGCTCTCATCCATATAGATACATTAAAACTTGATAAATTGATGCGCTCAAAGTGAACAGTAAATTCATTCCTAACTCTTTCTTTGTGAATGAAATCCTCCCAACCATCCACAAATTGGAGTCTGTTATCCAAG